ACATGGCTTGCTGAAATTCCCAAGGCACCAGAAACTCTCCTAACACTTGTGGTCGGATCTCTATCAAACTCACGCAGAATCATACGGGTAAATCTGCGCTGACGAACATTTATGTTTTGATCCCTTTGGCGATTTGCAAAACCATTTTGAATTATTTGGCGATACACTCTTACAAATACTGAGCGAGTTGGATGTCGTCTGTTTGGAAATCTTCGTGCGTATTCTCTGGCTGCTTCTGCTGCGTTTCCATTTACAAAGCCATACACAAAATGAATATTCGCTAACTCTTGATTGGAGAATAAAAATGGCATTTTTATAAAACTTACAAAAAAAAAACAAGTAAAAGAAACTAAATTTCGTGCATTCACAATTGCAAAAAAACGTTTCAGGTTTCAACAAACAACAAAACTCACTGTCAACTAATTGATTATTCTGCTTTCAATTTCAAAAATATTTGCAGGTACAGCCTACTTCTAAAAATTATCGAGATACTCACTTTTTAACGTTATTTTATCATAAATAATTAAAAATGCATCGAACCTTCAAAATCGAAATATCTCAAAAAGGGCTAACTATAACGAAAACTCACAGGAGAGCGTTTTTATGCAGAAAAGTGCGAAGAATCAGTTTTTTTATTCAAAAAGCAAGAAGTTGCACTAAGAAAAAAATTCGGTCATTTTATTACACTACAGGTGCAGTAGAGAGCGCCCTTTAGCGGCTACAGTAAAACTATGCCCATGGTTCGTTTTGTCGTACCAAAAAAAACCCTTGTATACCAAATTTCACTGTTATACATCAAATATTGTTCGAAATATTTAAAAAAAACTATTTTAGAAAGTAAATTTAAACACCCTGTATTTCGGAAGCCACGCATTTTTTGACCCATGCTTATATAGACTTTATGCATTAATTTTAAAAGTTCTATCGAATCTTAAAGTGATGCGACAATAAACTGAAACACCCTGAATACATATTTCAGTTTTTCTCCATGACTCTGAATTGAAATATTCTGTTAATAACATAAATTTTATTATTATTTTATTTGGAGGTTATTAATTATGATTGAATGTTTGACTATCTACTACTGCAATATTTTCTATTTATTATTTAGTTTTGCTATAAAATCGTGTTCTTAAGTTTTTTATACTATTATTAATTTGGAATGGGTTGGACATGAGCTAATTTCCAATTTTCTGGGAAGGTGCCGGATTCGTAAGATTCCCTTTACCAGTCGGTTTCGGTTCCATTCACAGCTTTATCTCCCACCGTTGGTGAGACCTTAGTGTTGGATATTATAGACAGAAAACAGCTAGTGGTGTCATAGTGCCAGAACCAAAGCTCAGTTCCATTCTAATAGCAAAATTCTTGCCCTAAAATGAATAATGGATATCTGTCTTCCCTATTCAAGTGAAGTAACATAAAATAAAATGGGAAAAATAACGCTTCAGTTCCAGTTTATTTTGGTCTTTTGCCCCGAAATTGAATTTCTCCATCGTTCGTTAGAAATTTAATCACGCCGGAGTGTCAATATACACCACATCGTAACCCTTAACGAATAGGAAACGCTGAGAGAACTAAATGGCTCATAACCGAGTACTCATTATTTCTGAAAAACATCCCTTCGGCCCGGAACTGTCATTAATTGCAACCAAAACTTAATTAGTGGACCGCAAGGGAATGAGAACCCTCACAGTCCGGTTGATCAGGAAATAAGAACACGTTTTTTTTTTGTGGAAGTCTATCCAGAATAACAAGCCTGCTCCTGATAGCTGATATCAGTATCTGTTGTCAGAAATCTATACAATTATCAGAAATCGTTTCAAATCAAAACTTTGTGCATTAGCTAAATAGGACAGGTTATTCTGTGGCAGTCAGTTCATGATAACAAGCTGGTAGCACGCTCGTGATAGCTGATAACAACATTTGTTTACAGAAATTTTCGTTGCTCGAAAATTTGTGCAATTAGCAAAGATCTGAGAGTAGGATTTTCAGATGTCAGTTGTTCTGAAATAGGAACAATGTTTGTGGTGGTCAGCCCAGAATAACAAGCTGGTGACCTGGTAGCCGATAACAATGTTTATTGTTAGAAATGTCTTTTATTCAAAAATTTGTGCAACTGATAAGGATCTGGGAGGCTGAAAACTTTCAGATTTCAGTTGTTCCTAAATAGGACAGGTTTTTTTGTGGCAGTCAGTTCATGATAACAAGCTGGTAGCATGATCGTGATAGCTGATAACAACATTTGTTTTCAGAAATCTTCGTTGCTCGAAAATTTGTGCAATTAGCAAAGATCTGAGAGTAGGATTTTCAGATGTCAGTTGTTCTGAAATAGGAACAATTTTTTGTGGTACTTGGCCCAGAATAACAAGCTGGTGACCTGGTAACTTATAACAATGTTTATTGTTAGAAATGTTCGTTATTCAAAAATTTGTGCAATTGACAAGGATCTGGGAGGCTGAAAACTTTCAAATTTCAATTGTTCCTAAATAGGACAGGTTTTTTTGTGGCAGTCAGTTCATGATAACAAGCTAGGCACGCTCGTGATAGCTGATAACAACATTTGTTTTCAGAAGTCTTCGTTGCTCAAAAATTTGTGCAATTAGCAAAGATCTGAAAGGCTTAGGATTTTCAGATTTCAGTTGGTCTGAAATAGGTACAATTTTTTGTGGTACTTGGACCAGAATAACAAGCTGGTGGCCTGGTAGCTGATAACAATGTTTATTGTTAGAAATGTTCATTATTCAAAAATTTATGCAATTTACAAAGAACAGGCAGGCAGATTTCAATTGTTACTAAATAGGACAGGTTTTTTTGTGGCAGTCAGTTCATAATAACAAGCTGGTAGCACGCTCGTGATAGTTGATAACAATATTTGTTTTCAGAAATCTTCGTTGCGCGAAAATTTGTGCGATTAGCAAAGATCTAGGAGTAGGAATTTCAGATGTCAGTTTTTCTGAAATAGGAACAATTTTTTGTGGTAGTTGGCCCAGAATAACAAGCTGGTGGCCTGGTAGCTGACAACAATGTTTGTTAGAAATGTTCGTTACTCAAAAATTTGTGCAATTGGCAAAGATCTGGGAGGCTGAAAACATTCAGATTTCAATGGTTCCTGAATAGAACAGGTTTTTTTGTGGCAGTCAGTCCATAATAACAAACTGGTAGCATGCTCTTGATAGCTGATAACAACATTTCTTTTCAGAAGTCCTGGTTGCTCAAAAATTTGTGCAATTAGCAAATATCTGGGAGGCTTAGGATTTTCAGATTTCAGTTGTTCTGAAATAGGTACAATTTTTTTTGGTACTTGGCCCAGAATAACAAGCTGGTGGCTTGGTAGCTGATAACAATGTTTATTGTTAGAAATGTTCGTTATTCAAAAATTTGTGCAATTGGCAAGGATCTGGGAGGCTGAAAACTTTCAGATTTCAATTGTTCCTAAATAGAACAGGTTTTTTTGTGGAAGTCAGTTCATAATAACAACCTGGTAGCACGCTCTTGATAGCTGATAACAACATTTGTTTTCAGAAATCTTCATTGCTCGAAAATTTGTGCAATTAGCAAAGATCTGGGACTAGAATTTTCAGATGTCAGTTGTTTTGAAATAGGCACAATGTTTTGTGGTACTTGGCCCAGAATAATAAGCTGGTGGCCTGGTAGCTGATAACAACGTTTATTGTCAAAAATGTTCGTTATTCAAAAATTTGTGCAATTGGCAAGGATCTGGGAGGCTGAAAACTTTCAGATTTCAATTGTTCCTAAATAGAACAGGTTTTTTTGTGGAAGTCAATTCATAATAACAACCTGGTAGCACGCTTTTGATAGCTGATAACAACATTTGTTTTCAGAAGTCCTCGTTGCTCAAAAATTTGTGCAATTAGCAAATATCTGGGAGGCTTAGGATTTTCAGATTTCAGCTGTTCTGAAATAGGTACAATTTTTTGTGGTACTTGGCCCAGAATAACAAGCTGGTGGCCTGGTAGCTGACAACAATGTTTATTGTTAGAAATGTTCGTTATTCAAAAATTTGTACAATTGGCAAGGATCTGGGAGGCTGAAAACTTTCAGATTTCAATTGTTCCTAAATAGAACAGGTTTTTTTGTGGAAGTCAGTTCATAATAACAAGCTGGTAGCACGCTCTTGATAGCTGATAACAACATTTGTTTTCAGAAATCTTCGTTGCTTGAAAATTTGTGCAATTAGCAAATATGTTGGAGTAGGATTTTCAGATGTCAGTTGTTCTGAAGTAGGAACAATTTTTTTGTCGTGGTCGGCACAGAGTAACAAGCTGGTGGCCTGGTAGCTGATAATAACGTTTATTGTCAGAAATGTCCGTTATCAAAAAATTTTTGCAATTGGAAATGATCTGGGAGGCTAAGGATTCTCAGATTTCAGTTGTTCCTAAATAGAACAGGTTTGTTTGTGGCAGACAGTCTATAATAACAAGCTGGCAGCCTGCTTGTGATAACTGATAACAACATTTGTAGCTAGAGGTCTTCGTTATTCAAAAATTTGTACAATTGACAAAGATCTGGGAGGCCAGATGGGAATGGATTCACAATAAGCTTACTGTTGTTCGGTGGGGATTTGGACCGGCGACGTCTTTAACCATGATCCAGCAATGATTTTTAAGCGGTTTGCATCAGTCAAATGCAGTTGATCAAACAAATTGTCAAAAAATGTCAGTCAGTCCTATGAGCCAAAATAATTCGGTTAACTGCTTCTAACCGTCTACAACCGTCAGAAATTCATTGTCAGAACATTCCTGTTGCTTCTTAGCTTTTAATTACTTATTGAAATATCGATGACCAAAGCCAGAAGGGTACTTTTTGATTGAAAATTCTATACCTGCCTCAGCAAGAAATCGCAATACCGAGGCTTTGGAAATGCAATGATTCAACGAACAGCGAAGTATCGAGACTATTTCCTATTTGTAACGCCAATGACAATATGACGCTGTTAAATATTTCAGAAATGGATTCACTACTACATTTTTTTGTTTCAGAGATATCGATGTAGATGCGTCTCTCCTAGGATCTCTCAGTTGGCTTGTGCCCAAACTAGAAGGATGGGTGGTCGGAAATCTCAGATATACCGCTCTGCCTGTTTTGGAAACATGCATCAAAGAAGCCTTTGAAGACGCTATAGCTAAGACAAACTGTGCTGCTCTGGTATTTCATTAAATATTCCAAAGCGTATACTAATGTGTATATTTACCGCAGAATTCCTAATGAGTTCCTCACAGAAGATGGAAACGTACTACACCCAATAAAATAGCGCCTATTCCAAAAAATGAAATTGTTTTTAGGTTTAGTACATAGATGATTCAAATTTCTAGCAAAATGTTCCCGCTTAGTGAGCTTCCCAAATGGGTTTAAAACATTAGCATGAAATAATTAGAAAATAGCTACAGATTTAGGTCACCTAATAAGTATATGTCTAATTTATTATTTTAATCCGCAAGGCCATAGAAGAGAGCAGCATACCACAGCTGATTGAATGCTTTCATGATATCAATGCGACATGAGCCTCATCTACACTTGAGTGTATGTACTTATTTTCAAAAATCAAAATCATCTGACGAATGTGAAATTTTTTTGGCAAGGGGGATGTTCAGTATTTATCTTCAGAAAGATGCTCATCTGGGAAGGGCGATTCAACATGAAAGAGCGAGGTATCGGCGATTGAAAATTCAAGAGGGGAGGGGGTCATCTTGAATTGAAAAAGGTATTCCAGTTTTTGATATTTCGGGGAGGGAGGGTCTGGTCCACCAAGACATGAGTAACAGCCCTTTTTGAGATGTGCCAAAATCAGGAGGCAGAAAGTGACCGCAGCCCTGCATTAGCAACTTAGAGACTCATATAGATTATTTAAAAAACAAATACATTCAGTTGGAATTATTACTGATATTATCAATAAGTCAAGGATCATTATATATATATATATATATATACGTATATAATTCAGCGCTTCAGGCCTGAAGGCCCATGGCTTCTATCTTTTTGACAACTTCTGTCCACACTTTTCTGTTTTGGTCTTTTCCTCCCATTCTGGTATGCCTAGTCTTTGTATATCCTCTTTGACACTTTCCAGCCACTGCTTCTTCGGTCTTCCTCTTCTTCTTCTACTACCTTCTCCTCCAAACAAAACTTTTTTGGCATTCCTATGAGGCGGCATTCTGTAAACGTGTCCTAACCAGCGCACTGTTTGAGCTCGGGCTTTTTGTATTATACTGGGTTGGTTATACATCTCCATCAGTTCTTTATTAGTTCACTTTCTCCATGTACCATCGTTGTTTTTTGTGCCCCCATATATTTTACGTAACATTTTTCTTTCCCAGCATTCCAATTTCTGTACGTTTTTCTGGCTTAACACCCAAGCTTCATCGCCGTAAAGTACTGATTGTTGGATAACTGATTTATATATCTTTTCTTTTGTTTTCCTTGATATCCACCTCGAGTTTATCATCTTGCTTAAAGCCCCCATTGCTTTACTCCCTTTTGCTATTCTTTTTCAATTTCTAAATCTTCTTCTGCTTTATCTGTTATTGTGACCCCTAGATATTCAAATTGATTCACCTTCTCGAAACAGTATTCTCTGCAACTACTTCTTATTGTTAACTTTCCTTCATCGGTTCCTCTCATTTCAAGGTATTTTGTTTTGTCTTCATTTATATGAAGCCCAAAACGTTTGGCAGTTTCTTCTAACCTTCTAAACGTCTTCTCAAGTTCTGCTTTGGATCTGGTTATTATTGCTATATCATCGGCGTAAGCAATCAACTGATGTTTTCTATAGTAAACAACTCCGTCGGTTTGTATACCACAATTACGTAAAATAGCTTCCAGCGTAAAGTTAAACAATGTTGTAGATAGCGGGTCCCCTTGTCTCAGGCCTCTCGTTACGCCAAAAGCTCTAGATGTTTCCCTTCCAATGTGACTTTGTTCATTGTCCCGTTCATTGTCATTTGACTAACCTTATCTGTTTACTTGGTAGTCCCAGCAGTCTCATAGCTTCATATAATTTTTCTCTGTCAATGGAATCATACGCTTGCTTGAAATCAATAAATAATGCGTGTAAACCAAGATTTTGTTCATAGCTATTATAGAACAGCTGTTTCATTGTAAATATTTGGTCTATTGTGGACCTGCCCCTTCTAAAACCTCCTTGATACTCACCTATAACCTCATTTTCATATATGCTCAATCTGTCCCTTAGTTGAAATGCTAGTATCTTATATGCAGTGACTAACAGGGCAATACCTCTATAGATTTCACATGAACTTTTATCACCTTTTTTGTGTATTGGGCAGATTACGGCGTTTTTCCATTCATTTGGTAGTTCCTCTTGATTCCATATATATCTGATCAGACTTCCAAGTCGCTTGTGTAAATCTTGTCCACCCGCTTTTATTATTTCTGCTGTGATTCCATTTTCTCCTGGACTCTTATTGTATTTTAATCTTCCTATTGTTTCCTCTATTTCCAGATCCGTTGGTTCGTGTATTTGTCCCTGATTGTCATCTTCGATTAGTGGTGCTGCTTCCGTGTTCCTTTCCTCTTCGTCTGATAGCTTTAACAGTTCCTCAAAATGTTTGGCCCACCTTTCTAATTTTCCTGGAATGTCACCAATTAACGACCCATCTTTGTCTTTATAGAAGCAAGAAGACCTTTGACTACCCAATTTGCTTCTTCTTACATCCTGATAAAAGTTCTTAATGTTTTTGTTGATCATGTGATTTTCTATCATTTTTAAGCCCATTTCCCAGTATTCACGCTTTTTCTTTCTACACATCTCTTTCACTTTTCGTTTGGCTTGCTCATATCTTTCCTTGACTCTGTTGTTCTAGATACATCCATTTGTATTTTTGCTTTTTGTCTTTGTTCCAATTCCCGTTTACAGTCATCATCGAACCACTCTTTGTTTTTTCTAGTACTCGTTTTTCTCATCATCTGTTCTGCTACATTAGTGATTATTGCTTGGATATGATTCCACAACTGGTGTGTTCTGCAGTCCTGTCGCTATTGCTTGTTCAAGTTGCTGTCTGACTAACGTATCTTCTAGCGCTTTTGTTTCGTACCTTTTGATTGTCTTCTGTCTCTCTGACTGTTTCTTCGGGATTTCTTGTTTTATAACAGCTACTACCATAAAGTGATCCGTATCACTATCTGCACCACGGTAACTTCTAACATTGTGTATATTGCAGGCATGCTTGTTTTCGATCAGTACGTGGTCAATTTGATTGGCAGTATTACCATCTAGTGAGATCCATGTTGTCTTATGGATATCTTTCCTGTCAAAATAAGTGCTCATTATCTTGAAATTTTGTTCGATTGCAAAGTTGATCAGGAGTTTGCTATTTTCATTTGAGAGTTCATGTTTGCTTTTCCCTCCTGTAACGTTTCGTCAAGGATCATTATAGGACCTAAATCGGGTAGATAGGCTATTTTTGTTAAGAACTAGAACATGATGATTTAGGAGATTAAACATGCACGTAAAAGAGAGAGGCAGGGAAAGAGAGAGAAAGAGGGGAAAAGAGAGAGAGAGAGAGAGAGAAGCTCCATGCGCAGATCCCAAAATATATGTTTGATGCAATGACTGTAGTGGATAATTAATTTTCATTATCGTCGCTGTTGGTTTCATCCCCAATATATGAGTTTATCTTCCTATAGGAATGTCTTTTCAGTTTTGCATATAGAACCATAGTAGGGCCGCGTGGATCGAACGTCAGTACTAAATCTTAACATCACTCTTTAGTAAACTTAAATTCAAAGTTTCACAACAATACGTACAGTGAATTTTTAAGTGTCACCAGGTCATTAGAAAAATGGAACTCAACCGAGAACATTTTTGCGCCACAATTTATTACAACTTTCAGAGACAATATTGCAACAAGAATGCCTTGCTGAGTTAGTGTCTGTTTTCGGCAACGAAGCGCCACATCAGCCGACAGTTTCCCGTTAGTATGGAGAATTCAAACGTGGACGGGTGAGTCTTAGCGACGATCCCAGGGTGGGTGCACCAAAAACGGCAGACATGTGACATATGGATCTTCCAAGGTGAAGAAAAGCCAACAAAAGTCATCCGTTCTCGACGTGTTTCGTAAAAGATGGTTGCGACATTTGTGTCAAAAGCGGGTCATATTGCAACAATTCCTCTTAATGAGCAAAGAACTGTTACTGCGGATTGATATACCACCATTTGTTTGCCAAAAGTCATCACCGAGCTTCGAAGAATCAACCCCGAAAGAAGAATCATCCTCCACCAAGACAATGCAAGCTCGCACACAGCCCAAAGAACAACGCAGTATTTAACGGAACCTGGAATTATTGGACCATCCTCCATATAGTCCCGATCTAAGTCCTAACGATTTCTTTACTTTCCCGAAAATTGAAAACACACTGCATGGTCAAAGGTTCCAGTCACCAGAAGAAGCAGTTGACGCATTCAAAAATGCCGTTTTGGATCTGCCAACAAACGAGTGGAATAAGTGCTTCGAAAATTGGTTCGAGCGCATGCAGACGCGTATTAATCTTCGTGGAGAATACTTCGAAAAACAATAAAGTCATTTAAAACTACCTAACGTGTTGTTTTATTTCCATATGCAAAACTTAAAAGACATCCCTCGTAGCTTGTTGTTCATGGACTAGACGCTTCCATACTGATCATTAAAATTCAAATTCAAGTTTAAAATATTTGTTTGATCACGAATAAACATTACAAACAAAGGAAATTCTACAATATTGAACAATGACGAAAAAGAAGAGTCTCTCGATTATGAAACCGATACATGGAACCCAATACAAAGAGTCTATCCTGGAACCTTATTAGAAAGCTGGCTGGCTATACGAGTAAGTTTTCCTAGCAGAATATTATTTTGTTCTAAGGAAAACTTATAATTGCTAAAATATTGTTGTTAGGTTCAAAAGTTGAAAGATTTCAAAACATAGCTGCAGAGATATTGTAGAGCAAATTACGTGCTTATTTGCGCTCCTACTACGCAAATGAGCTATTCGCCAGAAGCGAAGTGCATAGTGGGGGAGAACTAAGTCCTTCGTCGCGCACGCGGTGGACAAAAAGTTAATCATCGTCGGCTAGATAGTGGAATACAGACGTGGTCTCTATGGTGCAATCTGTGTCATGCGGGGTCAACTAAGGGCTGGAGAAGATGTAAATATTTCATTGTAATTAATTTTCAGAACAAAAGACCTGTTCGCTTGAAGTTTAAGTTGCTTCTAACCTAAGGTCCACAAAGTATACAAGGGTTTCGTCAATGTTGGTACTTTCTTTTACACGGCGCATCGATCTTGGAAAAATGAGCACTAGTAACATGAACGTCAAAGTCTTAAGATTGCCGATATGTTAGGCTCTGCAAAATAAATCAAACCTGAACAACAACACCTCGGTTCTAAAGAACAAAACAAAAGTAATTTACGGTGTCTCCGAAATGCTACGGAGGCTTCACGAGTACAAGCAGATCGTTTTCCAAGATCCGTCGTGATTTCTTGTTTGAGGCGAAATTAAATGTTTAGTGTATAAAACTGAGGTGAAGACGGTTGACGATCTACGTGTGCGAGTTTAGCAATCTTCTAAATCATTTTAGCTTGGCTAAGTCGAGCACATACATGTGTCTTTTTACGAGTTACAGAGCTGTACCTGACATTTCTTATCGATCGTATTCTTTCATTTATTCTTTTTACTTTTTCGCTTTCGCAGATCTTTGTTATTACAAACGTAGTTGTTTCTGAAAAGGAATGTCCCTACTTTCAGGACAGCCTGTATATTATTTTAATTATTATCCATCTATTTTTACATTTTACACAAGCACAAATATTTTTGGCCGACATCCGCTAGGTGGCGCTGACATCTAGTACAACATATCAGTTAAACAAGAGTGAATCCAGGGGGTCATCTCCCCTGTGCTAATTGAGATCGACCATTAATATTTTTGTGCATTCCCAATTATCACACGACCATTCGCTCTCAGAAGCACTGATGCTCATTAATGTTCATTCGCCGCCACCCCCCCTACCCGCTCGTAAATTGTTTCAAGGGCATTTCATCTAGAGACCGATATCGTTATTTTTGAATATCTGTGACATCTAATTTCGTTACTTTTTGATATCTGTGACTTAAAACGACTTCTAAATGACGATGACAGGGGTGCGTCAAAGGTACAGGAACAGCTCGATAACTCTTTGGGAATACATTCTAGGAGAAATGCCTCACCTTAAAAATAATAGGGTTTTCCCTTAACTATCGGTCGATGACCTTAAATTTGACCGAGAAGGTTATTTGAACGTCAACTTCAAACTTTCAAATGTCCAAATGTTCAAACATGACCTAGAATAGATATTTGACCTTGAGTGATCCCCCAAGGTCAAACTACCACAAACGCTCTATATCGATAATTATTCGAGAATACATTCCAGAGGGAAATGCTTCAAATAAAAGTTGCGGGTTTTTTCCTCAGCTATCAGAAAATGATCTTGGATTAAATCTTGACTTTGACCTCGAAGGTAGTCATTGTTCTGTATCATTAAGTCTCATTTTACAGATATAATAAATTTTCCATAGATAGTGATTAGGATTTCTTAGTTAATCCACCTTCATGCTCCAGGATATGTGTGAAAATTCAAAATCATGAACTTTGAAGATTAAATACAAATCAATTTTATTATTAATAATTAGTCAATATTTTCTTCAAGCTATTTTGGTAATTACTCACATTAATAACTCCAAACAATCAAATCTGATACTGTTATTACATTTTATGAACTCTTGGTTATATACCCAGAAATTGAATGTGACGCTTGCATTGCAAATCAAATATATCTTTAAATCATTTAAAAAAACAACATTAGTTACATTTCTCTAATGAATCTCAATGTGCATTGTGAAATCCATTGGTAAATTCGTAAACGTAAACTCAAGCACTTGACTAACACAGGAGTACGGCAGTCCATTATGGAGAATGGCGATGGGGAGACATGCATACTGTTGCCAACTCTTAATTAATTCCCTGGATGTATGCTTGAAACTCGCTAAATAGGAACTATTTATCCTAAATAATGGAGTCATGCGTATATTTATTACCTAATATGGGGTCTGACTTTCGGTAATGGCCACAAATCCTTCCACGACAAACAAAAAAAGGTATGGATGTCGTTGATACGCTTGTATCATTGGATATTAGGCGATTCGCCAATTTATCTAAAACGAATCTTTTTGCGTTGAGAAGACCTAGGTTTTAGGTTAATACATTCGCTGTTGGAAATTGTCATTTTTTTCCGCCAAGTACATTTCACATCCGCTAGACCTAGCGGAAAATCCGCTAAGTTGGAAACATCGGACTACTTTCACACCAGCAAACACATTAGTATTTTGCATTGTTTATTGGTATCACTGGACAACAAATTTAATAGGAAATAGGAACTATTTATCCTACATAATGGAGGCACGCGTATATTTATTACCTAATATGGGGTCTGACTTTCGGTAATGGCCACAAATCCTTCCCACGACAAACAAAAAAAAGGTATGGATGTCGTTGATACGCTTGTATCATTGGCTATTCGGCGATTCGCCAATTTATCTAAAACCAATCTTTTTGCGTTGAGAAGACCTAGGTTTTCCGTTAATAAATTCGCTATTGGAAATTGCCATTTTTTTCCGCCAAGTACATTTCACATCCGCTAGACCTAGCGGAAAATCCGCTAAGTTGGAAACATCGGACTTTTTTCACACCAGCAAACACATTAGTATTTTGCATTGTTTATTGGTATCACTGGACAACAAATTTAATAGGAAATAGGAACTATTTATCCTAAATAATGGAGTCACGCGTATATTTATTACCTAATATGGGGTCTGACTTTCGGTAATGGCCACAAATCCTTCCCACGACAAACAAAAAAAGGTATGGATGTCGTTGATACGCTTGTATCATTGGCTATTCGTCGATTCGCCAATTTATCTAAAACCAATCTTTTTGCGTTGAGAAGACCTAGGTTTTCCGTTAATAAATTCGCTATCGGAAATTGCCATTTTTTTCCGCCAAGTACATTTCACATCCGCTAAGTTGGAAACATCGGACTACTTTCACACCAGCAAACACATCAGTATTTTGCATTGTTCATTGGTATTTAGCACCATTAAACCACCAAATCTCCTCAGTTTTAACATCAAAATGCTAAGAAGGTACGGCCAGCAAAGAAAACTCTTGAAATCTATAACAGCTTGTGATCACAACCGTTATAGCCTACGATGAAATAAAAATTTAAATCCTCCCTTGAACATTCAGGGAGGCGTCATTGTCACAAATCTTTCTCTAAGCGACCCCCCCGGTGTCTCAATGTTGGATCCGCCCCTGTCAGAAAGCGGATAGTAAATCCAACAATGTGAGCTGAGTACAGTGTATGCAAATGCTTCAAATCCTCTCAATCGACGTCGCGTCTTTATTTGAGCTACATTATGTGGAAATTGCGATAAATTTTGTCACCACGCAGTATTTAGCGGCAGGGCTGTGAAACGATAGAGGTGCATATGCATCGTCATTTCTATTCAACATTGTTATGGAATGGAAAAAATTCCCAGTGCAGCCTTGTTAGGAGGATAAAAAACAACTGCATCGTACTACGTATAAGCAGAAATGCGCGTTATACTTTAAAATGTAGAGGTATTTTTCAGTCGTTGATGTAAACAATAACAAGGTAAGTTTTTTTTACAAAAATGGAAACATCCCGTTGTTCTACTTTACTACTTTAATGGCACATTATTTTTCTAAACTGAATGTGCAATCTTTATTCGGTATCATCGCTATGATTTTCAAATTGAAGATCAGTACAATACTATCTGTTGGCCGGCAACAGTGATCCCGGCGGCGCCATTAGCGATTCTTCCTCAGAAGATTCTTTTTCGGAAGATTCTTCAGCTGAAGAGTTGCACAGCACATCAGCGACTTCTTCCGAGATCCCGCATTGCACATCAGCAGAGCTTCAAGGTCACATTAAAGACCTCAAGGTGCGGAAAGCACCTGGGGACGATCAAATGACTAATAAGGCGCTGAAGCTGCTTTCACGGAAGTCCTTGACTTATCTCGTGGCTAGTATCAATGCCATGCTAAGGACCCAGTACTTTCCATCGGCGTGGAAGACTGCGGAAGTTATAATGATTTCTAAGAAGGTGGGTTCAATATTTCCCCAAGACTATCGTCCCATCAGCCTACTGTTTGCTTTGTCTAAGCTCGCACCATGTGATTCCAGACGTGCAATTTGGATTTCGGTCTGAGCATAGTACGGAGGCTTGTGGAGCGAGTAACCAGGGGTTTCACCCTTAAAGAAAGTACAGGCATCTTGCTTCTTGATTTCTCGAAGGCATTTGACAAGGTGTGGTACAAGGGCCTTCTCTATAAACTATACTAAGTGACATATAAATCCGAACATCCAGTTTAAATGGTTTTATTTTAATAAAATTTTGTATAAGTACTTCTTAATGAAGCATAATAAGTAAATGATAAAAATTTCAAAATGATTGCACTGCTTTAAGGCCCTTTGACCTTTAA